TAGCCCACCTTTGGGCCATAGGCTCTTGGTGGAGTTGGTTGCCTTCAGGCACTAATTGGCAGAAATTGAAGAGACCAAGGAATGGGAAGCTCTCATGGCGTAGTGCCTAAGGCATTTGACTACTAACCAGAAGGCTGGTGGTTCAAACCCACCAGCCACTTCTTAGATGGAAGATTGGGCAATCTACTTCCGTAGTGATACCGTCTTGGAGACCCAAGGAGGGGTTGCTATGTGTTAGATCTGACTCGATGGCAGTGAGTTTGTTTGTTTTGAAGGAAATGGGAAGTAGAGCAGCCTCAGTCTCAAAGGGTAGGACGATGGCTTCTGGGATTTCAAAGGGTACATCCTCCAAAGCCTCTTAGGTTCCAAAGAGTCAGAACTTCAACTCAGTTCTGGAGTGTGGGCTGCCCTGCACGAATGACAGTGGGATGGGAAAAGTGAGGGGGCAGGGCTGTCCTGCCCAGAGGGCAGAAGAACAGGGCCTGCTAGACCAAGGGGATGAGGTTGCCACTCAGATGCACTAGGAGACTTGGGCCACCCAGTGAAGGAGATCTGTAGGGGTGCCAAGTTGACAGTGGGTGGAATGTGGTAGTTAAGTTTGTGTGTCAGCTTGGCTGGGCCATGGTATTGAGTGGCTGAGCAGCAGGACGTAGTTATTCCCCATGATGAGATTGGATGTGGTGTAACCAATTCCATGGGGGAATTTGCTGTGTGACATTAATCAGTGGAAAGGGAGTTGCCTTTGGGGTGTGGCCTGCTTCCAATATATGTGGAGAAACTTTGTGAAAGGTCTCTAGCTTTTGGCACATCTGGATCCTACATTTGGCCGAGTCTTCATCTCCTGTTCCTGCACTTGAGCCAGCGGCCTGCCATTTTGTCTGCCAATCTTGGGACTGGTCCTGGACTTGAACTAGTAGCCTGCTGTCTTGTCTGCTAGTTTTGGAAGTGTGCATTTTACCTGTCCATCTTGGGTTTGTTAGCCTCAGCAGCCAGCAGCTGCATGAGTCAGGAAAAGTCTCCAGCTCTAGTGGGCCTGGAATCGGAGGCAGAGCTGAAGCCCCAGGTCGAGGGGCTTTCACTCAACCCCCAAAGTCAGCACCTTGAACTTGGACTTCTAGCCTCCTAAACTGTAAGAGAATAAATCCCTGTTTGTGAAAGTCATCCACTTGTGTTAAAAGAGCAGCTCTAGAGAACCAAGACACCATGTCAATAAGTAAAAAAAAAACACACCTAGGATTGCCAGCAGATAGTGGAAACCATGAGAGTCCCACCGAAGGAATTGATACAGCTGAGACTCTGATTTGAACACTTAGCCTCAGAACTGTGGGGAAAATAAATTCCTGTTATTTAAAGCTACTCACTGGTAGTATTTCTGTTAGGGTAGCACCAGCAAACCAAGAGCCAGGCACTACACAAATTACTTTGGATATATAAGCTCATTTATACTCACACGATTCTAGTACCAGTGACAATTCTAGGAACTGTTGTCATTTCAGCCCATTCTGACTCATGACTCCATGGATGTCAGAACTGTGCTGCATAGGGTTTTCATTGGCTGGTTTTGTGGCAGTAGAAGGGAGCACTGTTATTAGCAGCTTTTAAAAGAAACTCAGGTGCAAAACACCGCATAACGTGGATGAACTTGGAGGACATTATGCTGAGTGAAGTAAGTCAGTCGCAAAAGGACAAATATTATATTAGTCTATTATTGTAAAAGTTAAGGAAAGGTTTATCTATTGGAGGAAATTTTCTTTGTTGGTTACCGGGGTGGGAGGGGAGGGGAGGGAACGCTGTTAGATAGATAGAGATAAATATTGATTTGGGTGAAGAGAAGGGCAATGTACCAAATGTGAGTGACCAATA